AAAATTTGCTCACATGAATTTCACGTGGGATTCACTTCAAACGAGCTTATACATGAAACTCACGTGAAAATTTTCATATGAATCTCACGAATCTCAAGTGAAATTTTTCACATGAATTTCACGTGAACTTTACAAAAACAAAAATTGGTATTTTTCATGGCTTTGATTAAATTTGAAAATTTAGATGTTATTTGAATTACGTTATTTGAAAAATTCACAATAATTTCACATGAAAATTTTCACGTCAAATTCACGTGACTTTCACATGAGATTCACGTGAAACTCATAAAAACTGATTTCACGTGTGTTTCACGTATAAGCTCGTTTGAGGTGAAATTCAAGTGAATTTCACGTGAGATTCACATGAATTTAAATTCACGTGAATTTGATGTGAGTGAGATTTCCCCGTGTAAAGGTTTTAATTCAACAGAGAAGCGGAGATATGTTTTCGCCTTTTTTAAACGAAAAATAGTATTATATATAGCTTATATATACAACCAAGTAGATAAGGTTGCCAATAACACCGTTATTGTTTGACGTAAATTTTGTATTGGGGCTCTGCAAAAAGAAATCACGAATTCACCAACATTCCAACTGACCTAATTTTCGGAATTTTTACAACCATAAACTTTTAGCTACTCCTTTAGAAACAGAACCAAATAAAATGAACCTTCAAACTATGTACTATCTTCCGAAACTGCACAAAACATCTAAACAAGTATATAATTAATTCGTCTTCAAGCCGTTGTTCCATTACTAAACTGTCTAGAATGCGAATACATTATGTTCAGACTCTTTTAGTTTGTTTTGTTTTTTTATAAGTAACAACCAACAAAAGAACTATATTAATTTGACTTGCTTTGATATGATGAATGTACCTGCATTTTTACTAGATAGCATTTGTGTTCTCCATGGGGGTTCCGTATGTTGTCAAGTTATCGGAATTCCAATTTGGACTAACTGTGCACCTCTTATTTTAGACCTGTTTCTGCATTGTTACGGGTTACAATCGATGACTAAAATCAGCAAAGACTCATCGAAACATCATCCGACACAAAAATTTAGTAACTATTTTCGATATTTGAATGATATATTGGCTCTCAATAATGACGACTTCAGTATGTACACTAAAAAGGTCTATCCTATTGAACGTATTTAAAAGAAAGCTAATACTAACAATAAACACTGCCCTTTCCTGGATCTTGATATCTATACCTTTAACGCGAAGCTTAACACTAAAATTTACGACCAAAGAGAAGTTTTTCTTTCTTATTGTTAATTATTAATTTTCAGACGGTGACGTTCCCTTGGCACCGTCTTATGGTGTTTACGTATCTCAACTTGTTCGATTCGCTCTTGTTTTAACAACGTATATGATTTTAACATTTTGGTAGGGTTGTTGTTTCTTTGACACATTCCCCGTTTCCATTCTTAATTCTATTATATGGTCAAAACAAAGATTCATCAGATTGGTATACAAAGTTAAGTGGATAGATAGAAATCTCAAACAACCAACCAGTTTTTATAAACCCTACCAAAACGAGAAAAACAGCCCAAGACCGACTCCAATGTTAGAATAGGTAACAGAAGAAGCTAAGCAAAATTATAATGATCAACACAAATTAACAAAGGACTACTAGCAGTTACTGACATACCAGCTTCGGACCTCAATTAAACTGATCAAAGGATTATGTCTTCATCATATGAAAATCAAGCACAATCCCTCCCTTTAGTCAAAAACCAAAGTCTTTATTCAGATAACTATCAAAATGTTAATAACCCAAAACATAAAGAGAAAGTTCTATAAACTTAATAGAAATATATAATTTAACAGACCCCTTTAACGAAAGTTTGCGAGGTTTAAAACGATCTACATAGAGAAAAGATTATTCCCATTAAACAAGCAAGATTAGATTTTAAGACCTTAATCAAAATGTATATGATTTCGAAATTGCAATAGTTATAGTTCTAATCATTCCACATTAATATTACATTTGAGAATGAATGATTTTATTCTTTGAATAGGATAATGAAAATTTAACAACTTTTTTCAGATAAATTATTTTTGTATGAATTTTTCATCAATTAATAACTCTTTTTTTATGTATTATTACTGAAATAAAAGGAAAAACTATGTCATATGCTTATTTTAGAAGAGGCAGGAAAGAGATAAAGAGCAAAAATGTTATCAGAAGAAATTCAAAATTTAGAAGAAAGCATCTTAACAGAAGAAATATGACCAGAAAAAATATGAGAATTGAGTGTTTGTCGTTTGTTAATGTATATATCTGTGGTTTTTTTTTTCGTTTAATGTTGTGTTCCTCGTTTAAATTGTCTTACATTTGTCATGTATGGTTCATTTACAGCTTGCTATCTGGTATGGGTTTTGATCATTGTTGAAGGCCGTATGGTGACATACGGTGACCCTATAGGTGCTTACTTCTCTGGTGGAAAGTTTTCTAATTGGCAATCATACTACATATTCTTATATTTAGATTTATATCTCGATTTACTTTGTGTTATTTCTTTCATATTCATTCGGATAAAAGGAGATGCGGGTACACATCAATGAGACAGCAACACAACAATAAAGATAATCGAAAGATAGCTAAGGTCGGCAGCTTACAGTCTTCAGTAATGGAAGTTGTTTATACAACATGTCGAATTCTTAATCAAAAGTCATAAATAAAGCAGTAAGGTGAACCTAATAAAAGTTCAGATAACGAAACATATTCAGATAGGACTGACTAGGTTCATAATTTTCAAAACTTGGGACAGGGAAATAGATTAGCAAGTAAAAATAACTGAAATCCCCTGATTATATTACAACATTAAACTTACAATGTGTCAAGGTAAATGATCAGAGATAAAACTAGTTTGTCAACATTACTGGGTTACCTGGATGATAAAATTATGTAATCAAACTTGTGTTCAAGTTGAGTAATACCTTTTTATTTATTTGTTACAAATACATTATTAAATTGAATAAGTCGTGAGGTCTCAGCCAAGAACTGAACATCAATGTGAGAACCGAAAAAGACTTCGATTTTAGACCGGACGTCGATTTGGAATCTTACTCTATCATGACCTCCGATATAACGTGTATTATGGACCGGTCGTCGATATGAGTCCTACATATATGTTATATTTATTATATTTTAATATATGTTTTTGTTGTTTTTTATTTATCATTATTTTTTTTCTCTTGTTCACCTTTCTCCGATGGATATATGATAATGAAGTAACGTATATTTCGGAATTTAAATTATTATCAGGTACTAACCAGTTCTATTCATGTTATATACTATTAACTGTGTTTGGATTCACATGATGATTGATGCATTAATAGCAGGAGACTCTTATCTTCTTGATGTACCTGGACTAGTTCATTTAGAGTTTACGCGACTTCCTCAGTTTTTTTCTTTTATCTTGATTTGTATATTAAAAACGAATTTACGAATGTTGAACATTGGTACACTACTGTTGCCTCTAACTGTAGTAAGTGACTTTGCTTTTTGCATTCATTGAATGTCTTTGATACGGTGTATTAATGTGGAATAAATTAATAACGACCCTTAATATCTGGAATATTTTCATCTTGGAATTCGCAGAATTGTATGGGCTTGTCCTTTTTTTCCTAGATGTGGTTTGAAACGGCCCATCAACCAATCTCTTATGCGGGACTCAAATGACTCTAGTTTTGTAAAAGGATTGTGAAACGTACCTTTTCCATCATGTGTCAAGATTTTGAGGATATTACACGGTAACTGTTATAAGTGTTTAAACAGTCGAGCTTTGAAATAGTCGGGGGGGGGGGGGGAAGGGGGGCATTTGGGGGCACTAAATTCAAAGTATATTTTTCTAATCATTGTCCCCTAGACTGTTTTAGGTAATCGGTTCAATGATTTCCGAGGGTATCAACGGCCCAGTAGTCAGCACTTCTGTGTTGCTATGAAATATCATTGATATTGTTATATTTATAAATCAAGTGCCTACAAAACTTTTAATTGTTCTAAATACTAAGGATTTTCTTTCCAAGAAATAGATTACCTTAGATGGGATTCGTACTTTATTTGGCCTTTTAACGTTTTTGATTCGAGCGTCACTGATGAGTCTTGTGTAGACACGAGTCTGGCGTACAGCATTATAAGTCTGGTATCTCTGATGAGTTTATTCAAACGACCCTGGTGATCGACAATCATAATCCTAGCTTGGTGAACGCTCTTTCGAATAAAAGTGGTGAGAAAAAACAAGTTTTACAGCCAAGTCAAATATCGGACACGAATGCCTATAAAATGAGGAGATGTGGTATGATTGCCAATGCGATAACCATCCAACAGAGTGCAACATAATTATGTCCAAATGAAGAGGATTAAAGAAACTGTCGCTCACAGGTCACCGTACGGCCTTCAATAATAATAAAAACCCATACCGTATATATATTCCACTGGCCATGGGTAAGTAATGAGGAATTACACGTTTTTGAGCATGATATACACGTCATTGAGCATGATATACAAGTCTTTGAGCATTATAAACACTATTTGAGCATGATATACACGTATTTGATCATGGTATGCACGTATTTTAGCACGATGTGCACGTATTTGAGCATGATATACACGTATTTGAGCATGATAAACACGTATTTGAGCATGATATACATGTATTTGAGCACGTTTTTATGCATGATATACTCGTATCTGAGCATGATATGCACGTATTTATGCCTAATATTAATGTATTTGGGCACGTATTGGAGCATGATATATACGTACTTGAGCATGATAAACACGTATTGGAGCATGATATATACGTATTTGATTATGAAATGCATGCATGATATGCACGTATTTGCGCATGATCAGACTCACCTTTGCAATAATGTTACAGCTCATCAAGTTGATGTTCTTATTGCGTTTCAATCCAGGTTAGGAGTATCCAGTGTTTACAGGTTTTTGAGGGTTTTTTTTGGAGGGGGAAGCAAAAAAAGATGATAACAAGGTATGATAATTCTTTTATATAAATGAACAAATAACAAATTTAAATAAACGCTTAATGTATGTACAGTGAGGTAATATGATTCAGAATAATATATATATATATACTTCTGGTATAGAATCACTAATTCGGGAAAGTAATACATATTTCACACAAAATAGTTTCTACTAATAAAGTTACTTTTATAATATGTAAAATATTTTGATAATTTTGGTATGAAATGAAGGCTATATGACCTGTGATTACTGTTGAACCCTAGTTGAATGTTTATTTTTAATAATAAAAAGGTAATATGAGATTGAAATAGAAGTGCATATGTTGTCTGTTTCTGATGTCAATTTATATAAACTGAAGACAAATTGGTGAATTTTACATAGAAAGCAGAATAAATAGATGTTCTTTTATATCTATAAGTGTATGTTCGTGCATTTATATATTTCACAAGGTTAATTAATGTGTAATGTCGGCCGTCATAAACTTAAAAATAGTAATATTCTAAAATTATAAAGCTAATAGGGACCTGATTTGGTCTATATCTTTACATATGAGTCTGCATATAAATTTAAGCCAAATAATCACCTTGACATACTACTACTATCTTTAAAATACGTTTATTTTTGTATAAATTTCTATCAGCAGTTAGATTAAGCTTTATAGAATTAGGATATAATTTAATGTTAATTTGACAACATGAAATTGTATTTGACACATATTTCATGTAGTATATAATATATATCTGTTGTTGCTTTTTTTTTGCTTGATTAGGGTAGATAAATGTCTAGATTAAAATAGAATAAAATCCGTTCGTACTTTGCCAAAAATTCGTTTATATCGTTTATAATGGGTCACCCAGATAATGTTAAGCTACAGGTTGTGCTAAAATGTTTGCTAGTGATAATACTTGAAAAAAAACACTTCTGTGTAAATACAAAGAAAACTCAATGAAAGAATATAAAACAAAAACAACAAAATAATAAGAACAAAGCTCTTATGATATGCTTTCAGAAAATAAAACGAAATATTAGGGTCACCATACTCATTTTCTTGCTGCATATCAAAATAAGTATATTTACAGTTTATTCCTCTTTAAAACTGAATTATCTGAGATATTTCCCCTGATATTACAAAATTTTCATAAATATTAATCAATGATACAATTTTCTGGGTTTTTTTTAAATGAATATAACAGTATGATTAGGTAATAAAAAAAACGGTTATTTTCAAATAAATTCCATTTCTGCATCAAATTTATCTAATTTACGGAAACTCATTTTAGATCACAAACTATTTTAGATCAACCTTAACTGATGTTTAATGCAAAAAAAATTAAAAATATATACATTTGCAAAAATACTTTCTTTTTCAATATATAATGTAGTATTCAACAAAAGCATTTGTGAAATATGTTTTTGTATAGAACGTCGAGAATAACAGTTTGGAAGGCAAATATTATTAAATTAAAACCCTTAAAAAGTGTTCAATATCAATGAATGTACAAATAATTTTCAATATGCTATGCTGCCTGAAATGTTTAAAATATTAATCTCAAATGGCCACATCAATTTGAATGGTCACCATTCCAAACTTAAGTCTGCTTTACTCCACACGTATTTTCCTCCGCGTTTAAAGAACATTTTCTCATCAAAGCCACTGAATAACAAAGCATTGTCCACGCCTACATCCAGTATGGATTTAGAGGGATCTTTGTTGCCTTTAGTGCAGTCTAGAAAACGCATCTGCAATAACAAAGACAACTGAATATATAGTTTTTCCTTTACTCTTTGCTTTGCATCGATGCTGCTAATTAACATTAAGTCATGGTTATATACATGCGTTTAAACTTTCTTTTATCTTAAAGAATCGAATGATATTTGTTTGTATAAATCTGTGACAATGTGTTTATAATAGTCTCGGAGTAAATGAAGAATAATGTAAATAAAAACGATATTATCACAGAATAGTGCATTAAATCTCACTGACTTGACCATTAGGTTGATTGACTTATTTTTGGGGGTTTAACGCCACTTTCGGCACTATTTTCTATTTCGAGGCTGTCAGTTTTTACTAGTGGAGGAAACCGGAGTGCCCGGACAGAACCACCGACCTTCGGCAGGAAAATTGGCGATCCTAGTGAATTAAGAATGGAGTTTAACACAACTGCCACGTGCATTTTATATATATAAATGAACATATGATATACATCGGTACAACGGACACACAGGGCTTGTACCTTAATATATACATAATAGGCAATCGTATAGTATATAAGTTAATAGCCGCGAGGTTAGCATGGTGAAGATCAAAGAGTTAAAGAGTCAAGTTAAAGGTAGGGACTTGTCGGTTTAGGTTAGATTCCCTGTACTCTCTTTGTTGTCCCTATTCTTTAGCTTTTTCTGGGTTTTTTTTTCTTATTTTGTATGTAATTGTGGATATTTTTGTAATAATAGCGATTTTTACCGTTTATTTTTGGATTATTATTGGTTATTTCACATATTTGAAACGAAAATGATAACATTCAATTTGTCCATTTTTGTTTTATAAATATAGTAAGACTACATAATTTTACAAATGTTTATTCGCAAATTCATATGCGAGTAAATCGTGATGTGCCTAGAAGTAGGCTTCTTGCTAGAAATTTCGGTAACATACTTATTATATATACTTTATATATGCTCTTTGGTCAGTTGTTGTCTCTTTGACACATTCCCCATTCCCATTCTCAATTTTATTAGAAATAAGTTCGAAAATGTCTTATTTTGTAAACACAGATAATACTCAGATGTCTGATAATTTAAAGGCAGACGTGTTGTGTTATATTTGTATTTTTCTAACCAATTAGTTGTGATCTTATATTTAGTAATGCATTGTTGAGCAAGATACCATGGTTATCTAAACTCACTTACAATACCTTCTAATTAAGAAAAGGCTTTAATTTTGAAAAGACATTAACACAAAAGTTTAAATCATAGATACAATGGATAAGCGTTGATTCATGAAAAACAAACCATTCGCCCTCCGAGCTCATGGTTTCTTTTTCAAGAATCAACGCTTATTCATTGTATCTATATTACGTAATACATATATAAATATATATCGCTGTCCGATTGATGACTTTTTTATTTCAAATTCTTTTCTGAAACTATTTCGCCAATTTCATGTGAAGAAATATTGGAAAAATATATGTTTCGTTTTGCCCAGACTGAATGTAAAACGTGAAAACCAGAGGCAATGGTTGATACTGATCGGTATGTTTCTACTGGTGGATGAAAGCCCGGACAGAACCACTGACAGGAAAACTAGCAATCCTAGTCAATTAAGAATGCAGTTCAACACACTAATTATATTTGATAGTACATGGCAAAATGGTATGAAACATGGTCATTCGAAGAACGGGTGTAAAAAATTATCATTTCCTGCCAATTGGGTTCAAATAATGACGCCAATGATGCCACAAACGTACCCAAGGAATCCTAGATGAAATAATTTGTCCCACACTAAACTACTTACCTCAATAACCATACAGAAATATTAAATATTTAACATTGTATACATTAACATAAATAATGGTAATGAAACCCCCAGAACATCCTTCAAACTCCTTTTATTAAATACTAGCATATAGTATATAGCATATATTAATTTGTATAACCAGAAAACTTACATATTCGTCCAGGATAAGGTAGGAATTCCTCATCTGAAATATAAAATTCACTATACATAGAGTCATTTATATACTTATAAATGGTTAAGTAGTTCCTGTCTTACATTGGGCAAATTAAAAACATCCCTTTTGTTGTAAAACTTAGTTCTCGACCGACTTTTTTTGGATTTAATATAAAAAATAATAAGACGATGTGGTACGATTGTCAATGAGACAAAGATTCAATATAGACCAAATTACGAAAAAGTTAGCTGCTAAAAGTCACCGTACTACAGCCTAGCGCTATTTGGTGTATTCTCCAAATTTCGAATTTCTCAGTGAAAGGACATCTTCAATATAGCGTAATGGACATTTTAAGAATAATGCAAGCTTTTTTTCATTCTCAAGTCGACAAGTAGAAAGGTGCAGTTGGTTCTCGTGGGAATGACATTACTGTCAGTTTAAACCCACGTCTTCCACAGGTAACTAATAAGTTGTCAATAAAAAAAATATAGTATTTTGATGATGTCAGATTCACAGATTGATTGGGTCGCATCAGAATATTTTTACAAAGTATGTTTTGTCCATTCCTAAAACAAGATATATGTATATACATTGGGCATCCTATTTTATGAGACATAGATGAACGAACGCGATATGTTTTTAAAAAAACAGTGTCAAGGTTAGAGAAGTCAATCGTTTTTTGCATTATTGCCTAATGAGAGGGACTTTCATTGCCAGTACTTTTACGGAACGTTTCATGTTTTAGTATGTACAATTTTCATACCATTCCTAGAGTAGGAGTTTCAAAGTAACCCTAAAGCCGGATTTTCATTCCTGAAAAAAATAGGTATTTATGATATGGTAAGATATTTCGTGTGCCTTTTGCAGATCAAGCGATATAAAGACACTTATAAGTAATCCGGGTAATCCAGTACAGTGATGGAAGGATTAATACCGTCTCCTGTCATTCCTCTTTTTATAATGTTTGAAAGTTGACAATTTTGGAGATTGCATCATGACAAGAAAACGGAGGATTTGTTTATTAGCATATATACCATTACGCCGGCTTCTTGAACCAAACAAAATAAAGGCATTACATGGAAAAAATAGCTGTGGTAAACTTCGGTTGGACAGTTTGATATTCCGGATGAAGGTAAATCCAGAAAGTCGTTTCGAACGCACCAAATTCATTAAGCATTAATTATTTATTCATTTACTACAAGGATATTTTGCGGACACATTCACTAAGTTAGATATTGAAACTTTAATCATCTGATAAAAGGTGTGATAGTTTAGGTGAAGAATTTCATTGGTTTTTTTTTGGGATAATTCCTGATAAACCTTAGAGAAAATTTTATTTAAATATTATTTGTATCTTTTAACATATCTTTCCCGTGTTGTTTTGTCGGCCGGATCGCAAGGTGATGTAACAAATCAAAGATAAGTTGGACAGAATTATTTAACATAGGAATACCAACTAAAAAAACTTACAAAATCGTTAGATTCTGGCACTAAACAAGACACGGGATTATGTCTGGTCAGGAATTTTCTAAAATCGTCGTCTGACACAACAAAAGACTCTGCATGCCTGAGGGCATCACTTCCGGCATTCTCTCCTCCAATCAAAAGACACTGAAACACCTGAAATAAATTTTAAAACGAAATATGTCGTAGTAAATTCTCATACGGATCATGGTTGATATCTCATGAACGTTTACATGTAAACATTTCATGGGCAATTATTTATTTTCCATTTGTTATATTACCTCACTATATTTTATTTTTATACATCTTTTATTTTAATATAATCTAATTTTCGGTAAAGCAGGTTGATACTTAAAAGGCTTATAATTTTAGTAAGCTGGACGCGCATATTTTCTACACTAGACTCCCAAAATGGCGCGTAATCAAAATAGTACGTATAATTTAATCGTAACAACTGGAATATGATGTTAACTTTATCAAATTTGACATATGATGGTTGGGATAGTTATTGTTTCAATGTGGAGATTGAAAAAGTGGTACCACGTGACATTTTTCTTTACACAAGCGAATTAAGCAATGTTATTTACACCTAAAAAAAAGTCGACCAGGCTGTTCTAGTTTGACCCCTCACTCTGATGAAAACCTACCGAAAGGTGACATAACCCATCTGTTGATGTTTTCAAGCAGACGATGTTGAATTGATCAAACACTGCATTGATTGCTGACGTAATCACATGACGTTTGTGTGTAAAATGAAATGTGACACGGTGAAACGGACACGGGATACGGAACAAAAGTAATGAATGATTTGCTCTTCAAAACATTCGGTATTGAGCAAACATGATCAAACATGTTAAGGAATACGTCAGAAGCACTTGAAATTAAAATCGGAATCGCTATCATAAATCGAAATAAATGATGTTATAAACACTAAAGCACTGAATAAAGGTTTTGGGTCTATATAGAAATAAGAAGATGTGGTATGATTGCAAATAAGACAACTCTCCACAAGAGACCAAATGACACTGAAATCAACGACTATGTTCATTCAATTTAGTTTATATTAATAGTAAAGAATCTGTAATCGGGTCTCTTTGGTCGGGTTGTTGTCTCTTTGACATATTCCGGCCCCATTTCCATTCTCAATTTTATTATTAAAGTTCAAGATATTTCAAATTGTTCAAAATATAATAGCCGACTTTTTTCAATCATGTTCTACGTCACCCATGCATTTCCTATCTTACCTTCCGGCGACAAGGATTCAACTCGTGTATGGGTTCTGTCATGTTTATTTCACCCTTGCCTTCCCTATCGTACCTTCCAGCGACAAGGATTCAACTCGTGTTTGGGTTCTGTCATGTTTTATTTCACCCTTGCCTCCCCTATCTTACCTTCCAGCGACAGGGATTCAACTCTTGTATGGGTTCTGTCATGTTTTATTTCACCCTTGCCTCCCCTATCTCACCTTCCAGCAACAAGGATTCAACTCTTGTGTGGGTTCTGTCATGTTTTACTTCACCCTTGCCTCCCCTATCTTACATTCCAGTAACAAGGATTCAACTCGTGTATGGGTTCTGTCATGTTTATTTCACCCATGCCTTTCCTATCTTACCTTCCAGCGACAAGGATTCAACTCGTGTTTGGGTTCTGTCATGTTTTATTTCACCCTTGCCTCCCCTATCTTACCTTCCAGCGACAGGGATTCAACTCTTGTATGGGTTCTGTCATGTTTTACTTCACCCTTGCCTCCCCTATCTTACCTTCCAGTAACAAGGATTCAACTCGTGTATGGGTTCTGTCATGTTTATTTCACCCATGCCTTTCCTGTCTTACCTTCCAGCGACAAGGATTCAACTCGTGTATGGGTTCTGTCATGTTTATTTCACCCATGCCTTTCCTATCTTACCTTCCAGCGACAAGGATTCAACTCGTGTATGGGTTCTGTCATGTTTTACTTCACACTTGCCTCCCCTATCTTACCTTCCAGCGACAAGGATTCAACTCTTGTATGGGTTCTGTCATGTTTTACCTCACCCTTGCCTCCCCTATCTAACCTTCCAGCAACAGGGATTCAACTCTTGTATGGGTTCTGTCATGTTTTACTTCACACTTGCCTCCCCTATCTTACCTTCCAGCGACAAGGATTCAACTCTTGTATGGGTTCTGTCATGTTTTATTTCACCCTTGTCTCCCCTATCTTACCTTCCAGCGACAAGGATTCAACTCTTGTATGGGTTCTGTCATGTTTTATTTCACCCTTGTCCCCCCTATCTTACCTTCCAGCGACAAGGATTCAACTCTTGTATGGGTTCTGTCAAGTTTTACTTCACCCTTGCCTCCCCTATCTTACCTTCCAGCGACAAGGATTCAACTCTTGTATGGGTTCTGTCATATCTTCCTCTAGGTTGTAGGTATTGACAACTGTATTAATCTTGAAAGCAATCTGTTAAAATGTTTACATTTTGTTATTAAGAAGTTAACAGGAATATATGAATTCGTGTTCAGAATAAACTGTTCATTTGTTTCTATGCTCCTAGGTTTTAGTGGGTTTTTTGTTTTTGTTTTTGTTTTTTTTTATGGATTTTTATTTATCTTTATTTCTTTTTTTCCTTTTATTCTTTTTATTATGGGAGGAAAAGGGGGGTCTATTAGTGCATGCTTTATCTTCTCTTATTATTCTGTGGCCTTCTCTGTTATGTTTTGATGTGTTTTCTTTTTCAGATATATGGTATATTGCTACAAAATCGAGAAATAGGTTTCTCAATTAAAAAGTTTATAAACAAAACTGATTAAACTATTAAGTTGTATCGTTAATGTTGTAGTTTTCTAGAGGAAATATATAAATGAACAACTTCCGGCACAGAGACCATATCCGTTACGTTCTATACTACGTAATACTACACTCTATATATGTCATATTAAGTAAAGTATTGCGCTAACATGTATGGAACGGATATAAACTCTGTGTCGGAAGATGATAAATCAAGTACATGGTATATCAAGATATGTACTTTAAGCTTTAAATGAACATTGTTTACTGAAATGAAAATGAAAACAAATTAATAGAAGAAATCGTATGGGTTAAAAAACAAAGGCAATGGATGTTCAAATAGACTATGAGTGGGTAGATATTTTGAGATTTCTTTTCATCACAAAATATGTAACCGCTCATGCTTAGAAAATCCCTTATATAATAAATCTTCTTGTAACTTTTAATTTTTATATTTTATTTCTTGATATGCTTAAGAATAACGTTTATTTTGAAATAAGCAGGATAAAATGCAATGGGTTTTTTTTAAAAGACATAAACAATATCTTCTCTCTCAAACTCCTAAAAATCTGACAAATAAAGGTTCTAAGCCTAATTCTATAACTGAACCGTTTGGTCATGCAGTCATAAGTCATGGCAAACACCACCCCAAACATTGACAAAAGGCAAATTGAGTGACTATGCTTCTGAGTATTTGTTAAAAGGTAAACAAAATTTGTAAATACACTATACAGGACAGTGGTATTGTGACAATCTAAGAGGAATGCATTCCAAGTTAAAGAAATACGTAAAAGCTGAACATAGTTGTCTTATCCGTCTAATTGAGGACATTGAGCTAATTCAGCTGTATGTTAAATGTCCAGTGGCAAATTAAATGCATATTCAGGGCAAGAATATGTTAATGTAGTTCACAAGATAAAAGTCTACAGGAAGACATGTCACGTACCCTAGCCGGACACATTATCCCGACTCCGAGCCGACCAGTTTTTGCTGTTACTCTGTTAATGCAGCGTGCTTAACAGAGAAGCAGCAAATGACAATTTTAAAGTCTTTGGTTTGACTCGACCGGAGTAATCAGCTGTAAGAAAAACTTTCCTGATGTCGACAACTTTAGTATGATACAAGTGGAAAAGGTGCTTTACGAAACCAGAAATAGAGAGACTTAAAAATAAACTGACACATTTAAAGATCACGAAGAACAGAATGTTTTCCAACATTCAATTATCTGATGCTGTCTCCGACTTACTTAACTTACTAAACTTTTCAATTCAAAGTTTTATTTAAAGTCAATATTCAATAAACCTCATAAACACAAGCTCTACTAGTGAGCTTTTCAAATCGAAACTTGGGACTAGATTGGCAATATCATGTCATGTCATATATGTTGTTCCTGCATAATAATAGTTCCTACATTTTAGTTTCTCAATAATTTCTAAGTTTATCAAAGTACAATTTGAGAGATGTATGTTATGAATCATGTCAGTAACGAAGCACTAACTACTGGGCTGATAATGCCGTCGGGACTAACAACTCACCAATAGCGGTATCAACCCAGTGTTTTAAGAAATGGAAAAAACCACTATATATATTGTATGCGTTCTGACGCCATTTTGGATTTAATGTCAAATTACCTTATACTGATAACACCATTCTCTAACTTGTCTCAGAGACTGCAGATGATTTTTGTTTCCTTGTTGTCGACCAATTGTTTCATTAACATCAGGATTAAAGCTATCACAAGACACCGCTAAAATATCCAGGTATTTACCTGCAAAGACGTTATAATTAAATTTTGACAAATTAATAGATTTTATCAATATTTTTAAATATTGTGTAACCATTTTTGGTCGCCTTTTTATTTGGCTATGCATGAACAGGTGTTAGCAAAGCAACACCTATGCCTCTTAACATTTAAAAAAAAATACTTTGAAATACTTTATTAATATTTTGTATACAGTTTAGAGGATAGTTCAGGGTTGTATGTGCACGACAAGGACAAACTCGAGATGAAATGCTCATTTCACGATGAACAAAAAAAATAAAAACTAGCTTGAATAGACGTTGCTTTTCCAAACGTTTCACTGCTTTCCAATTATTTACTTCTTTTAATGCTATATATACATTTTCTATTGAAGAAATCATGTGACCGATAGGATGGAGAAGGTATGATATCAAACATTAAAATTTAAACACTAAACATATTAAATGATGGAATATAAATGTCGTATTTCATACCTGGCGAGGACACTTTCTTTAAGATAAGTTGTGAGTAAATCAAAGTTCTATAGTACCAAATCTACCTTTGATCGACAATTTTTCAATGTTAGATTAGTCGCACTTTCAAGATAAAACTATTAATAAAAGGTAATATATTGATATAAATACAAGGAGATTCGGAGTTTATGGCAATCAGACAGCACCCCAACGACATCAACATAAAAATATATCTAAAGGTCACCAGAGCTCCAGATAAGAGTTCACAAATTGGGGTTTTTACCCACCATTTTTTATTTAATTGAGTGAAATTGTTTTTCAATTGCATTATTAATTCCAATTCACCCCTCAAGCAAATATCAAATTGGGTTTTTCACCACCAAGCTCATCAACGTATTGGGTTTTTTCATCAACACAATATTGAATTTAGTCATGTTATAATTACATTCTATCAAACAGAGATGTTCATCCATCTTGTTAATAAAATATGTTTCTTTTAAATGTGATAGCTATTTTATTTGGTTTATACACTGACGAGCAATTGTATGTTTAATCTGTGTCCGGTTTCAACACAGAGTTTTGTATTTTCCATAACTTATATTTACTGGTGGCACTAATAGGACAGTACCTTAGATTACCGTTCTAGAGCACATATGATCACCATTCAGTTTATTTAGGGTAGGTGTGGCTAATAGTTTTCAGATTTTTATGTAATATTTGTGAACATTAAGTGATGTAAGAAAGTGTTGCCAGTCCCTATCACCTGTTTTCCAGACCTACTTAAAAAAAATAAGTAGCTCCCAGATTTAAGACCCTTGACCAGGTTTATAGGGTGGTTTAATGGCTGAGACCACATTCAATTTACAAATAATCCCGCAACATCAAATAAATAAATGACAATGGTGTACTGCACTTGCCAATAAGACAACTACATGTATCTTAGGCATACAGAACAATAGACCAAAAACAAAGAAAGTGGCAAGCTACATTTACATTAAAACTAATATGTGTGTTCACTCATCAACTAAAATGAAATGTATATTATATATACACTTAAACTAAAAATAAGCAATTGTTTCGTTTAATTTTATTTACATAAATCTGGGTTTACTTGTCCCTTATTAGAACTTTTGGTTTCCGATGCTGACTTCATATAAGTGATTTGGCCTCTTCTTCTTCTTCCGGTAAGCGGCCACCGTCAACTGGTTGACTATTCTGCCACATTTTGGAGTGAGCGCATGAAATATTTTTGAAATTTATTAAACAAAAAGAGAATGGGTGCAATTTAATATATATACAGGTGCAATTAAAAACATGGCATTTAATCTAATGACGGAGCTGAGCCTTGAAGGATTCAGGACTCAGGGCGGAGACAGTAGAGTTGGGCAAGGTGTTCCACTCTCTGATTGTTCTGGGATAGAACGACTCCTTCCGTACAGTTGTTTTACACGATGGTATTCTAAGTGCCTTTTCGTTATTATTTCTGGAAGGGCGTTCATTCGGTATTAGCTTACTGGATGTATCGATTTTGACAAAGTTGTTTTGTAGCTTATACATCATTATTAAGCGGCTATGTTTCCTTCGTTCTTGTAGGGTAGACCATTCAAGATGTTCAAGCATGCTACTAACAGATGAGGTGTTGTGATATCTGTTAGTAACATACCTTGCTGCCCGTCTTTGCACCATGTCCAATCTGTGGATGTCGTTTTGTTGGTATGGATCCCATACTGCACTAGCATATTCTAAAGTAGGCCTGACGAGGGACATGTATGCTTTTTCTTTAATTGACTTGTTTGAGATGTTAACATTCCTTTTTAAGAAGCTAATGGTGTTGTTGGCTTTGGAGCAGATGGAGCTTATGTGTTTCCCCCATTTAAGATCTGATGAAATAGTGCATCCCAGGTATTTAGCTGATGTTACATGTTCGAGGTTATGGCCATGTAGTGTGTAATTGTACTTTGATGGAGTTCGCTTCTTGGAGATGGTGAGTACATTACATTTGTCTGGATGGAACTTCATAAGCCATGTTGTTTCCCATACAGCCAGTTGGTCAAGGTCCTTTTGTAAGTTTGCGGCATCTGCATTGGATGAGATGGTGAGATAAGCAATAGTGTCATCAGCAAACAGTCGTACAGTTGATTGAATCCCCTGGGGCATATCGTTTATATAAAACAAAAATAGGCTAGGTCCCAGGACGGATCCTTGTGGTACGCCGGACTCTACAGGTATGGAGGTCGATGTTTCACCCTCTACAACTACTGACTGTATTCTATCACTGAGGAAGTTGTTTATCCACTCATTTGTTTTACCGGTTATCCCATAATGCTTCAGTTTGTGGATGAGAAGGCTATGACTAACCTTATCAAATGCCTTGGAGAAGTCCATTATGAGACAATCTGTTTGTTTCCCCTGATCTAAGTTTTTAGTTACATCATCAATAAATTCAATCAGTTGTGATTCGCATGATAATCCCCTTTGAAACCCATGTTGAAGTGGATACATGATGTTGTGAGTATCTGCATGAGACATGATATGGCTAGTTATGATGTGCTCCATTAGTTTACATGCTATGCAAGTGAGAGAGACAGGCCTATAATTTATCGGATCGTATTTCTTCCCTTTCTTATACACTGGACAGACGTTTGCAGATTTCCAAATACAAGGTACTTCGCTTGTCTGATATGAGCAGCGGAATAATGTTGTCAGTATTGGTGCTATATGTAATGCAAGTTCCTTTAAGACTCTTGGTGTTATATTGTCTGGCCCAGCTGCCTTATTTGGATTAAGGTTATTTAGTAGTTTGTACACACCATTTTCTGTTATATTGATGTCCAAGATTTGTTCAAAGTTTCCGGACATGTTACACTGTTCTTGAGATTCTTTTTCTGTTATGGTGGTTTTGACTGAAAAGGCTTTCTGAAATTGGCCATTGAGTATGTCTGCTTTTTCTGTTGGCTCTGAATGTAAAGTTCCATTTGATTTTAGAGGTGGTATTTTACTCCCATCTGACCTTTTGTGTTTTATAAAGGTCCAGAACCTTTTCATACAGTTTGGTCTTTCTTGAGGTTTAATTAGGTCTGGTGGTGAAACTATACTGTCGATGTAATTCCAGTAAGCTTTCCTAATTTCTCTCTGTGTACGACGCTTAAGTTCTTTAAATTTGTCTCTATCTCCTCCATTACCCGATTTTTTCATTCTTTTGAACCATCTGTCTCTTTTTCGTATGAGACGCTTGATGTCAGATGTGATCCAGGGACTACCATCCTTTTTCCTAGCGGTCTTTTTCGGTACATTTTTTTCTATGCTCTCTTCAAGTTTGGTTTGGAAGTGTGTCCATAATGTATTTACTCCTGCCTTTTGTTCATTCATTAGGGTGATATCATGGTGTAAATTATTCATATCTATTTTCATAATCTCCCAATTTGCTTTTCTATATAACGGTATAATCCTTGGTTTTTGAATAGATTTCCGGGGGTTTAGATTAACTTCTGTGAAAACGATTTCATGGTCGGAGAGCCCAGGTAAGGTTTCAACTCTCATGAAGCTTTCAGGATGATTTGTTACAACAAGATCAAGAGTATTGGGTCCTCTGGTTGGTTTATTTACAAGCTGTGCCATCCCATTATCATCCAATATATCAGCAAATTTTTCATGATTTGTTGCACATTGGGTGTGCATCTTGATCTCTTTGTTAGTCCAATCCCAGCCTGGTAGGTTGAAATCACCAGCTGATATAATGAATGCATTTCGTATTTTACTGGCTCTTTCAATGCTTATTCCATATTCATTATATCCCTTTTCGTTTGATGTTTTGGGGTTGTAGTAACTAGATAGATAGACAGTTTTATGCCCGACAATTTCCATCTTGCACCAAGCAATTTCACAATCAGTTTGAAGTTCTGGTACTGATGAAGTGATGTATGTGTCTTTGACGGCAATGAGTACTCCCCCTCCACTTAAGTTTCTGTCATTTCTGTAAATATTGTACCCATCTGGAAAATATTGCGAGTCTTTTATTGATGAATCAAGCCAGGTTTCAGTTCCAAAAATTATATCTGGTTTTGTGCTTTCAATAAGATTTATAAGTTCGCCTTGTTTGTTTCTTATTGACTGGAAGTTGACATTTAATACTCGAATAGTCTTAGGATTTGAATCTTCTTGCTCCTTTTTCTTTTGTGTTTTCCGTTCTGGTGTTGAAGTATGTAATGGTTTTATGATGCTAGATGTTGGACTGCTGATGGATATATTTGATAGTATGCTGAAATGATTTGAAGTGCTGAATACCAAAGAATAGCAGAAGGTGGAGTAATTTGGACAATTACACATAATGCAATCCCATGCAATGGCGGAGTCATTCACATGTTCTAGGTAGGACTTAGTAAGCATAGCCTGGCAACTGATGTGGTACCATTGGTTGCATGTATCGCATACTATACCTCGTTCTTGCCATGTAACTGGTTGGTCGCATGTGCCACATGGATATACAGTTCCACTGGTGTTTGAACATTCAGGTCCAGGGTTAAGATTTACATCGTTTGATATAAGAATTAGTAT